GCCCCCCTAGCCCCTAATGCGCCTGTGTGTGTGTGTGTGTAGCAGTGCAGAAAACTCCTCTTACGCATGTGTGGTCAGCCACTTCACTGGCCCTTTCATCTACATGTTGTCTAACTCCCACTGCACTGCCGTCAAACCGTCAAAGCAACAAGCACTGTGGGCTTCACACCTTTGCTGTGGGTATGTGGGAGAGAGAGAGAGAGATAGAGACAGAGTGAGAGAAGGGGTGGTAGAGATAAAGAAGGAGACAAAAGAGAGAGATAGAAAGAGAGAAAGTGTGAGCGTAAGAGGGACAGAGAGATAGAGAGTGTGTGAGAGAGACAGTTACAGAGGTAGAGGGAGAGAGAGTGCCAGAGATAAAGGGGAGAGAGAGAAAGTGAGAGAGAGTGGGAGAGAAAAAGAAAGAGGTAGAGGGGCTGAGAGAGAATGTGTGAGGGAGAAAGAGTGAGAGAATGTAAGGGAGAGAGACAGAAAGAAAATCAGCCAGAGAGAGATCAAGAAAGAGAGAAGGAGAGGGAGACAGTTGTAGAGGTAGAGAGAGAGAGTATTAGAGAGAGGGGAGCTAAAGAAAGTAAGAGAGTGAGAGAGGTAGAAAGAGAGTGTCAAAAAGAGAGAAAATCAGAGAGGGAGAGAGAGACAGATAAGTAGAGAGAGGGAGTGAGAGAGAGACATAAAGACAGGGTGTGAGAGAAAGAGTGCTGGAGATAGATGGGAGAAAGTAAGAGAGACAGAGAGATAGAGATAGTGGAAGAGATTGTGTGCGAGAGAGGAGTGAAAGAATGTGAGGGAGAGAGAAAGAGGAAAGTAAGAGAGAAAGACAATGAGAAAGAAGATCAGGGAGAGATAGTGAAAAAGAAAGAGATAGAGTGAGTGAGAAAGAAGAGAGAATGTGAGGGAGTGAGACAGAGAGAGAGGTAGGAAAGAGTCAGAGAGAAAGAGAAAGGACAGAGAGGGAGTGAGAGAGAAGAGAGAAGAGAGAATGTGAATGAGTGAGATAGAGAGAAGGAAGTAGGAAAGAATAAGAGAGAAAGAGAAAGGAAAGAGAGAGTGAGTGAGAGAGGAGAGAGAGTGTGAGGTGAGAGAGTGAGATAGAGAGAGAGAGAAGTAGGAAAGAGTAAGAGAGAAAGAGATAGGAAAGAGAGTGAGTGAGAAAGGAGAGAGAATGTGAGGGAGTGAGATAGACAGAGAGAGAAGTAGGAAAGAGTAAGAGAGAAAGAAATAGGAAAGAGAGAGTGAGTGAGAGAGGAAAGAGAATGTGAGGGAGTGAGATAGAGAGAGAAGTAGGAAAGAATAAGAGAGGAATAGATAGGAAAGGGAGAGGGAGAGAGATAGAGAGAGGGAGAGAAAATTATATATAGAGAGAGTGCCTAAGATAGAGGAGAACAGAGGAATAAAGAGAGAGAGTGAGAAAGGAGACAGATAGAGTGGAAGAGTGTGTGTGTATGAGAGAAAAGGAGTGAGAGAATGAGGGAGAGAGACAGAGAGAATAAGGAAAGAGAGAGAGTCATAAAGTCATTAAATTTAAAAGCCATTATAAATTGTGATGGTGAATTGCTCTGCTGCGGTGATCTGTTAATCTATTACACAGTAAAGATTCACCGCACTCCACTGTTTATCCACAAGGCATAAAATAATGTTTATGAGCGTGAATATACTTTATCATTTGTTATGAAGTGATCGCATGCCTGTTATCATTTGCAGCAGAAGCTCAATCTGTTCAGTGTTGCTTTGGCTCCACTTCAGCTCCTGCCCTGCTCCACTGGAGCAACGCAGCGATGCGGCTTTGCAAGCCTGAGCAGAAGAAAAGAAACTCACCTTGCAGAGAAAAAGGAACAGAAAAACTGCACAACGTCATGGCGGTGAGAGAGCGCTCTCAAAAACGATGTGTGCATTACCAGCACATGTTTGGTGTTAGCACTGTTTTAAAATCTTACATATAGTGTAATTAGAACACATCTTTGTGCTCAGAATCTGAACGCAGCCTGGGTTAAATGAGATAACACATACGTTTGCTAAGAGAAATGCAAAATGTGTTGTCCTTAACTCGACCCACAGATGTGTTAAAAAATAAAAAGCAGTGGGTTGCTTTTAGCACATCTGTTTTGAGAACAGAGGAGAATGTGGGCTGAGTTTAGAGGTGGGTGATGTGACAAAAATATAACGTCTCGATACATTTCCACAATACATGGTACTTATCATGAGATTTAGTTTTTCTGAGGTTTGATAAGATGGAACAGGGCAAGTCCACCAGCAAAGCGGAAGTTTAGCTCTTAAAATGTTAGAGTAATGTTAGCAAGTTTGAAATCACTGTTTTGAATAATAGAAAAACGATTTTGCTGCAGATCCAGGTAGAAAATGATTGTAGTACGATGCTAAAATAGATTTTGAACAATTCACACAAAGCTGTAAAAATGAAGAAACTTTGTAAGAGCTGTAGATGATATAAAAATTGAGAAAGAATTAACTTTAAGAATTAACTTTAAATCATCAAGAATTAACTTTAATACATAATTATCTTTATTTATTATTTATTTATTCTATATTTATTATTTAATAACATTTTCCTTTTTTAACCTTTTCATAAAATCTCATTGTCACCAAAATACTTTGAAAGTAGAACAATAAGTTATTATTGATTATGACAGGTGATTTCAAACTTTTGAACAGTACCTTTATGTTTTGCTCTTTTGGTTTATGTTTTGGCATCTAGTGTACAAAATTTTAATCCACACTTGAAAAAGGTTGCTTTGAATTTACTGGATTCAAATGTGCACATCGATTTCACACGAATAAAATTATTTGGCAATTATTGCCAAAAGTTAACAAAAATGTAAGTATGTAAAATGAAGCAATTGTGTTGTAATGTAATATATTACATGTTGATGTAATATATTTAATGCATGTCAAAGCAATGTAAGCATATGAATCAAGCAAGTTCAAAGCAGCAGTTTTTTCAGTTATTATTGACTATCAATTATTTATATGACAAGCGACTCCAAAGTTTTGAGTGGTAATGTATTGCATATTACTACATTTTGTTAAGCAGGACCAGTTATGCTCCCTTCAACTTCTGGTTTTATCAGAATTCTCAGACTTCTGTCCATCATCAAAGAGTCTAGTGCGTTCTGTGGCCTAACATGACCCAAGAACTACCTACTTTGACAGAAAAGGCCATTTGACTGTCAGGGAAAGTAGCTAACCACAGACCACTGTTTTAGCACAACGTGTAGGGGCTGTAACCACAACAAGACTACAGGAAACAAATGCGTCATCAAACTTGTGAGGATATCTCACTTAAGAGCTATTAAACGCTTTAAAGAAAACTCTTGAATAACTTTTAAAGATGTAGTTCTGTTAACGTCACAATCTTTTTTCTTTCAATCCAAAAACGTTCTCACTCTGAAAGTCTCAGTCACTGTGCAGAGCGGACAACTGCTTGCAATTTTAATCCCCGTTAGAGAGAAACAATATGCTGTAAGAACACATGGACGTGTGGGTAGCCAATCAGAATGAGACTGACAAAATCTGCATAGTTGTGCAATTTAACATGTAAAAGATGTCAGACGCACTGTTTATGTTTGCATGTGGGCAGAGCGTCTGAGGCTTCAGATTTGCCGCCTCTTAACAACACGGGAACTTTGGACAGCTGGACCCCTTCTAAACTTCTTTGTAACGAAACGTAATTGGTCAGTATTTTAAAAATCAGTACTGGCAATGCTCAGAAAAGCTTAGTGTGAAATCATTTATCGTTTGATAACTGAAAGATATCATGAAGTTGTATACAAAAGTTTGGGCACCGCTGGTCAATTTACGTTTTAGTAATTTTGTAAAAAATAAGTTAACATCCTCTACAGAGAACACACCTCTGCACATTTTAGTACAAAATTACTGTTTATTTGCTGACTTTGACGTATTGGGCAAAAAACATAAAATGTGGCCTGTGCAAAAGTTATTGCATGTTTTATTTTATTATGAATTAAATTCATCAAACAAATATAAAATGTGCTACACACATTTACATTTGTTCCCCATAGTGGATGTGTTAACCTTTTCACTTAGAAAATCAACTAAACGTATCAAGTGGGATGGTCAAACTTTTGTACACGACTGTATCTTCATATCGTCCTCCTCTTGTCGAGTTCAGGCTCGGGCCTCTCGCTGCTAACACTCCTCTGCTGTGTTGTTGTGCTGCTGGGAGCCACGCAAGGGCCGGTGTGAGTCTCAGAGCCTCAGAGGCTGCATCAGCCCCTCTCCACCTGTTATACACTGACCCATACACAGGTCATCTCAGTCCAGGCTGAGGTCAGCGTGACTGCATGGAATCAGACATGCTCATTAGCCTGTTAGCATGAGCATGAATGGAGTGCAGCTGTGGTTTAAGTGTGTGTGTGTATATGTGTGGGTGGGTGGTTTTAAGGGTGGGGGGGGGGTTGGATGCGGTATATATGTGTGGGGTGGGTGCATGTGTGTATGTGCATTGGAGTGTGTATGTGTGTGTGTGTTTCTTTGTGTGTTTGTGTTTCCTGGCCCTAGGTTCGGCTTTTTGTAAATGAGGAAGTGTGTGTTTGTGTGGGGGGGAGGGGGGTCTGCAGACCCCCCCACCATCTTCCTCTATTGACATCACAGCTGACATGGGGGGGGTGAGAGTGAAGGCATGGAGCCAAGAGACAACTCACCCAGCAGAGAGAGAGAGAGAGAGAGAAGGAGGGAGGGGGCGAGAGGAAGGGGCATAGAGCCAGGAGGCAGTATCACCTAGCCTCAGCCAGTAAACGAGGAGGAGAGAAAGAAGGAAAGAAAAAAACTCTTCCAGTTAGCCAGCTAACACACTGCATATTTCACTCTCCTGTAGTCTCAGAGTGTGTGTATGTGCGTGTGTGTGAGCGCAAGCCACTCGGTGTGTTTGCGCGAGCCCAGGATGAAGGATCGTTTAGCGGCCGGTGCTGGAGTGGCCATGCAGAAAGGTTTTGACCGTGCGCCCGTCTCTCTGTGCCTCTACCCAGACGACTCGTACCAGAAGCTGGCCGTGGAGACCATGGAGGAGCTGGACTGGTGCCTGGACCAGCTGGAGACCATCCAGACGTACCGCTCGGTCAGCGACATGGCCTCCAACAAGGTGAGGAGAGAATCTTCAGCTCACTCACACACAAATCTGTTTTCATACAATGTCAGGACCTGGAGTCATACACTGCAAAAAAAGTAATGCACTGAATTTACTTGATTCAAATGTGTACATCTTTTTTATATGAATACAATGTATTACATCAGCACAATTATTGCAAAAGTGAACCAAGTTTTTTTAAATATTTTAACAGACAAATGTTGTCCACATAAAAATGATGTACACATTTGAACCCAGTACGTTTAATGAATCACTTTTTTCTGTGCACATACTATATATCCCATGTGTGTGACATACATAGATTCAGCTGTGTGTAATAGTCATTTTCTAAGCCGAACCCTGATCTTAACTTCAGAAACCAAAAATAAATTATTTTAAAATATGAACATGGTTTTTATCCTGAAAATGTCCTAAAACAAACACATTTAAACACAGTCTAGCCACTCAAGCCCTCCTCACATAGCTGGACCATTCTCCAAAGTATGTTTTTGTGCACTTAGCTAAGTGCTGATGTTTTGTCTCTTCATCTTAGATCTGCACCCAAATATCGACTTTTGTTGTTTTTGTCTAGAGTTTTTATACGTCTCAGTGTCTGGCTGCTTTACTGAATGGAGCTATTGAGAGTCAAGCCAGAGGGCTTGCGTTCACAAGAATGCTCTTCAGACTGCTCATTTATTGAAGTACTTAGAAAAACTACGACTATTTGGATGTCAGTATTAATACAAACCTCTGCATTTAACCCCTTGAATGTGGGGAATATTATTCAGTTATTCCTTGTAAGACTGCATTAACTACTGTGAATAACTCAGTAACTGCTATAAGACTAATATGAACATTTTATAGCAGTGAGAGTGTGAAAATCAGTTTGGTTGAGTATTTTCATGCAGTTGTCAGCATGTTGGACCCCAGCATGGCTGAAATGCTTCTGAGAAGCTGCTGCGTGTTGAGCAGGTCTGCTTTTCTCATTAAGCAGGTTTTAGCATGTCTACTGTAAAGCATTTCAGCCTTTGGGCTGAAGCAGGGATGCGTTACTGCATCTGCCCTGGAGTTGATTACATTACCGGCTTGCAGTTATGTGGATATTAGACGAGGTCTAGGAGCCTTGTCTTGTGTGAAGGATCCAGTTATAGGGAAAGAACAGTGTAAAGTGGAGAATATTATATAATAGCCTGTATATTTGGATTGACAGTAATGTGTTAGTGCTGGTGTCTTGGTATGGAGTTGAATATGAATATGAGTTTAACCCCTTTACTTCATATATTCCTACTTGAAAGAATTACAGCAGTAAGGAAATTGGTTTAATAATGTATAAATTTAGTATATTTTGTTGCAAAGTGCAGAATGTTGTGTGGTTGTAGCCTGTACTATTTTGAATGCTTGCATAATGGTAGGTCTGCTGTTTGTATGTGGTCAAATTTGAAATGTGCCATTTAAAACTAATATGATTTTGACCATGTGGAGGTGGGCGATATGGCAAAAATATATCACAATACTTTAACAAGATCTCAATACCTGATTTGCTTTGTAGTATTTAATTTTTCTGAGGTTTAATACATTTAAACAGACAAAAAATTAAAAATAAATAAATATTTAAATATTTTATATTTAAATATTTCACATACTGCTCTGGACTAAATTCAATTAAGCAGGCCTAATTATGCTTTAACAAATATGTCTTTGTTATGAAAGAGTTGGTCAGTGTTCTATAAGTACTGACGATATCAGCAAGCATATTTTATCTCGATAATGATAGAATATTCCCGTATTGCCCAACCCTACACCATGTCATCTGAGGCACTCAAACAGAGAATCGTAACAGTCAATAGGCAGCTAAAACTACCGGTTAGGCCTGTCAGTGTGTCATCAATGGTCATTTTTCATTTTTTGCATGTATTGCATGTGTACATGTGGAAAACACATGCTGACTGGTATCCGATCAGCTGCTGCTGTGTCTAACACTAGTGACTGTGTGTGTGCGGCGCAGCTGTGTGACTCAGGTTTCCTGTCTCCTTCCTAAGCCCATGCCGGGTGCAGACTACAATAGGAGAGAGTGCTGTGTAGCAGGGCAAGGCCGCGCTCCCTGTTTGTTTCTGCTTCTGCTGACGTCAAACTGACACACGCTACAACAAGGAGACTCTGCTGAACACAATAGAGATGAATATACACACGCTCATAGCCACACAACTCACAAACACCCAGAGACACACTAAACCCTTGAGGTCAGTGCAGTGCAGACTCAGGCTGGGCGAGATGATAATATATTATCTTTATCTCAGTAAGTTATGTCGCAAGGCGCTTGGATTATCAGTACTTCAGCACTAAATGTCTGCTTGATATTAAAAAGACTAGTTGTAGAAAGACCTGTAAACATCAACAAATGGTATGCAGTCGTGTGCAAACGTTTAGGCACCCCCACACCCTCTACAGTGAATGCACTTTTGCACATTTTACTGTGCAATTACTGTTTATTTGACAAACATATTGGAAATAAAAAAAAAAAATGGCACATTTTATATTTTGTGTTTTATTGTTTCCCAATATGTTAAACTCAGCAAATAAATAGAAATTGTGTGCTAACATTTGCAGAAAAATGTATTTTGTCTGTTACAACTTGTTTGCATATTTCATAAATGCTAAATATAAGATAAATGCTAAATAAATTATGCATATTGTATATCATGAAAATTCCTTTAAGTATCATGATGTTATTTGTTTGGCATATTGCCTCACTAGATTGTGTGCAGAAATGTACATACAATTGCCGTAGACCAAAAAGTGCTTAATAAAAGTACACTATCAAACACACACACACATTTTCTAAGCTGCTTATCCTTCTGGGTCACAGGGGGAGCTGGAGCCTATCCCAGCAGTCACTGGGCGGAAGGCAGGACACTCAAACACACAGTTGCATATAAATGACCACCCAGTCAGGCTGCTAGAGGTACTAGTTGAAGGCAGGATTTTTGTTTCAATTATCCTCTCCTGACATTAAGATTAGATTGAAACAAAATATTTGGACAGCTGGAATATCTAAGTTCAAAATCTGATCAGCCTCTCTGTCAGCTTAGTGTGCTTCCAATATGCACGCCAACTGACGTCAGTCAGCTATTAGAATCAATAGGAGATCAGTGAGCATGCAGTTATCTCAAGAAAGCAAAGTAATATCTGCAAATTTTTCTTCTTTAAGTCTGCTTGCTGTGAGGCAGCGTCCCAGTGACACAACACAGTCACACGACAATGGTTTTGTAATCTCATCCCAGATTTTGATGTTTCCAAGCTGATGCTATGGTGGATTTGAAGTATTAATACTACGACTACTGCTACTAATAATAATATAATAATAATAAGAAGAAGAAGAAGAAGAAGAAGAATTTATGTAGCTTGAGTCCACAGATTACTTTACAGAAAAGCAATAACAAAACAACAAAATGAAATACAAAGAAAAAGTAACCCCTAGTTAACCCCTTCAGCTCCAGGCCTATTATTTAGTCATTAATCTTATGTCACAGCTATGTTATGTAGTTTAGACAGTGAGGAATTGAGTTGTGTGAGGGTTTAAACATCATAGAAACGAAATGGGTCCGAGGCAAATTAATAAGCAATAGAATGGCCCAGGAGCAGTAATTAGGTCTTTCCTTATGTAAGGGGAGTTTGGAGGTCTAGTCCACTGACCCGGCGCATAGTTAACAGGATTATACATATCAGGTGAACATCAAGTCCAACTAACAGTTCTAGAAGACCTGATATGTTCTAGCTTTGTTTTTGGATCATCTGTGATATCTGATGTGTGTGTGTGTGTTTTCACACATTTTCAAGACGGAAATGTCCTGACTTTGTAGAAGAAAAAACTGCTAACCCATATCTGATCAAAATGGTTCTGACTTTGTCAAGTGTTATTGTTATAAAAAGCTCAATTTTTTTAACTGAAAAAGTAAAACCTTTCCTTTTTGGTCAGTGAGGTTAAGATTATGGCCAGATTTAGTTTGAGGCTTAAAAAAACACTCTTATCACATTTCCTCGCTGTACAAAGAAAAACAAGTATCTCTAAAAACAAGTGCCTCTAATATTATACTTTCGGAGATGTGAGAAAAGGTTTCGTATGTTAGTTACATATTTTTACATATTGAGTTACATAAGTAACATATGACTCCGTCCTGATATCCAGATGTGTGTGCTGTTTATCTTGATGGCAGGAAGAGCTGAGATCTCATTTGTATGCTTGATCTCATTCCAGTGACAGACTATTTGCATTGTAAACTATGTTGCAGTTGGGTAAGAGCTACTACTACTGTGTGTGCATGTGTGTGTGTGTGTGTGTGTGTGTGTGCTGGAGGCAGCAGAGGGAGGGCCCAGCGTTGGAGGGCGTGTGTGTAGAGGGTGACATGCTCACACACTGGAGGGTAGTCAGCGCACACAGCTTAAAGTGAGTCAGTAACACTATTGCGTCTGTCAAATGCCAAACCTCAGCATTACTTAGTCCTAGCACACAGACGATCATACACACATATACAGAGCAGGACTGAACCCGCTGCCTCAAAATGGGAGCTTGCTGCTTCGAGAGAAAGGAGCACAGAAAGTTTGGAAAAGTTAATTGCTGGAAAAAGGTGAGCCACCGCTAAAGTTGATCTGGTTTACTGTGATTTTATTTTGTACTTCATTAATGTGGGTTTCTGAAGAATTGCTGTTAGGACTGTTTAGTTGGAAGATTCTCTACATGCTGTTTTTGGTGATAAGCAAAAAGGGGATCACCTGTATTTTGTGCTTATTTGATTTTATTTCCTTCTTGGTAGAGTTTTTTTTTCCATGCTCCTGTCAGGCTGTGTGTATGTCTCTGATTTTTAGTGCATTTATATGTGGTTCTCAGATATCTGGAACATTGGGCCAGTGTTGGGCCAGCGATGGCAAAGCTGGTCTAGTCAAACAGCAGGCAGTGTGCTTGCGTCTGAGGTCTGCTCTGAAATTGCCGGGTTTAAGGCTGTCTGTCTAGTATGTTATAGACCTAAATACAATATATATTGTCTTATACTGTATTGTATATTATAGACTTGAATACAGTAAATTAGCATATGCTGTATGCTATTGTATAGGCTTGAAAGCAATATATATATATGATCACATTCAGTATAGTATAATATTGTATAGACTTGAATACAGTATGTTAGCATGTACTATATATTTTATAGGTTTAAATGCAATTCATGTTGGCATGTGCTGTATGGTTACTGCTGACCTGCAATAATCCGAAAAGCACACCAGGATATCATTTTGTCTAGCTATTCCAGAATATGGCATTTTATTAAGTCCAAATCATGAATTAAATGAACAGTGCCTACATTTTTTACACATTTAAGAGAAAAAAAAATGTGAACGCCTGGCTGCCCCATTTTATTTGTCAAAAAATATTCGCTGTATCTGCAGGTCAGTTTGCATAATGCTTCAGTTATGAGCACTAGAGGTGTGCTTTTGTTAGAATTTCATTGAATGCACTGGGGAGAAGAGGCAGACAGATTCACCTGTACATACTCCAGTGTTCATTTCAAGCTAACAAAGGTTGATTTTTTTAAAGAGTGCTACCTGAATGCATTCAAATGCACACACGCACCCACACACATACGCACAGAGGCTTCAGTCATTTAGGGGAAGTGAGCCACTATTTGCTCATAGCTGCTGGCTGTTTTGTATGTCATTTGGCACAGTCTTACACTCTGCTTCTTTCTCAAGAAAGCTGTTATGTCATAACGTGTGTTTTACTCGTGAACTGGTTTGTCACCTTGAAGTGCGTCAGCACATTTCCTAATGCTGATGTTACTTGTTTGTGTGTGTGTGTGTGTGTGTGTGTGTGTGTGTGGATGAACAGAATGGACTTGCCACTCTTACAGTCCAGGCTTCTGTGAATGACACTATCATGACTAATCATCTCCCACACCTCTAGTGGTGCGTAGAGAAGGGGCATTCCGACACTTTTAGCCAGATTGAGGTCATTGGACAAGTCAAAATCATAGAGGAAATCTTGTTAATGTATTTAATGCGTGATTGGTATTGCGATTTGTCTAAATTACACATGTTGTGTACTTACATATACTTACAAATACTATATATTTTGGGCTGTGTGCTTGATTTAGCCTATAGATCACTATGGTGAAATATGCTGATGCTGTTTATTGCCAGTTACTTCTTTGGCCTAAAGAATTGGAATCAAGTAGATCAATTATTTCATAATTGCACAAAAAGCTGATCAGAATAAGTGGACTGCAGTCTTCTTAGGTTTATACTGCCCACAAGTGGAAGGGAAGGGTAGTGACCATACAAAAAAAATAATGATTCCATTCCACTGAATTGCGTTAAGCACAAATCACCAAGAAAATTTTCTTGTTGTAAAATGAATGTAAGGCCAAAATCACTAAATGTTTCCAATTTACACAATAATCAGCAACTCAAAACAAGCACATTTCTAATATATACAGCAAAATATTTTTCCTTAATACTCTATTACTGTGTTAATTTGTCAGCACTTAGTGAATGAGGTGAGATATTCTGCATTTAGGACATAAAGAGGGATTATACTGAAGGATGACGGTTTCTGAGAATGAAATGCCACCTTCATTCACAACAGCTGACGGTGCACTCCAGCCCTGTGCAGAGTCAGAGAGCAGATTGGAATGCACTGCTGTGGGAAATGGAAGGGAAGATGACACTAAATGTTGAGGATCCAGAATAGCTCAAACACGTACACACAGGCTGTCTCCCACTGCAGCAGAATGCAGAGAGATTCTCTGCTATTGTTTTTCTTTCCCTCTCCTCGTCTCTCTCGTCTCTTCTCTCTCCCTCCCACTCTGTTTCTCACGGAAACACACTGAAATACATACACAGTGCTCATCTCTTTTTTTGGGGCTCTTTTTAATCTCCCCCTGAGAATTCCACATAAGTCTCAGCCCCAAGGATTCTGAGGAAATTTCTCCCAGCATACGTGCCCAAAATAGTCCATCTTAGAGCTTCATTATTATATCTTCACTGTCTTATTAATGGGCCCATATGATGGAAAAATGTTTTTAAATAAAAAGAATTTTTAAATAAAAGAATTTGATGTAGTGTGTAAACATTCCACAGCCTATGATGTCCATTTATGGAAGCTGAACCGCAAAAAGCAGTTTTAAAGTCACTGTTTTTGTTTTTGTGATGACACTAAAACAAGCCAATTCAAGGTAAATGTATTGTATGAGTCGTTTAACTCCATTTGGAAACACCGGCTCTTAATATATATGGTCCAAAATGACTTTACAAATGTTGTATTAATGTATGCAGTACATTACTGAGATGTGGAGGTTTTATTATGGCAGTGATGATATTTTAGTGGTGTGGTTGGATTGTGTTGCCTGTTGAATTTGTGTGTTGAATTTTATACTGGACGCCAACCAGCCTGGACAGCAGCAGGGTGGTCAGTGGTTGGTCCCGTTCACTGGGGCTTTCCCTGCCAGTGGTCTGTGCCCTCCTGGTTGCAGCAAGGACAGCCCATTGATTCTGGCTGTCTGCCCTTCGCCGGTGAGCCGTGTGTGTGTGGGCTGCCTTTGTGCGGTGTGTGGTGCTGAACCGCAGAGATGCCCTCGTGATGCTTTGGCGGCCGCCATGTTTGGACAGACAGGGAAATGCCTCTCAGAACAAGAAGCTACTGCAGCAGCCCAGGTCACGTGATGCTGTTGCCATGGCATCGGGATGTAATTTGGTAGTGCTTGTATAGGCGAGAGAGAGACATAGAGAGACAGAGGGGAAGAGTGAAAAAGAATGATGAGGAGAGAGAGAAGGAACAGTGAGAGAAAGAGAGAGAAGGAGAGAGAGGGAGAGAAAGTCAGGTGGGCTGATGTCACTGGAAAAGCAGACAAGCGAAGGCAATTATCCCACTCTCTCTCTTCCTTTCTCCCCCTATCTTTCTCTATCATTCTTCCTCTCTCCTTCCCTCGCTTTTCTCTCTGTCTCTCCTCTCTCTCTTCCTCTTTCTTCCTATCTTTTTCTCTCATTCTTCCTCTCTTTCCTTCTCTTTTGTCTCTCTCTCACTCCTTTTCTCTTCCTCACTCTCTCTCCCTCCTGCCAGCATCTCCTGCGCCTGCAGGGTAAAAATAGCGCCGGACTCTGTCTGAGGCTGCCTTGCGCACTGTGTGGGAGATGGAGAAAGAGCCACTGGTCTGCAGTTGGTCACTGCAAAACCCAAACACAACATTCTACTATCCTTCAGCGTTGTTATAGCAAGCATTTCTATACAGCGAGGCCAGAGGTTCCGATACACAGCCCTATTTTATTAGATTTAGTGCCTGTATTTTGATTAAAGCTCTGTAAAAGTGGCCAGTCCAGTGTTCCACCTGAGCAAAATAAGGACCGAGAAAAGATAAAGGGACATCCTTCGCCCTCCCTCTATCTTTTTTCCCTTTTTCCTTCTTTTTCCCATTCTTTCCTGCCCATAACTAAGCGGGGGTCTCTCCCTCCTCTACCATCTTTCTGTCAAATCGTTTGTGCCATGGCCAGTGTGTTGCTGGGGCTGACAGGCTGCAGGGGGAGAGAGAGAGAGAGGGAGGGGGGTAAAGCAAGCAAGCTCAGACACAGAGAAAGAACAGAGAGAGAGAGAGAGAGAGAGAGAGAGAGAGAGAGAGAGCTGCAGCAGCAGTGGAGCAGCACTAATCCAGCAGAGGAAGCCCCCCTCCAGCTAGATGAGCATCCCTGCGTTTTTCCTCATCCCTCCATCCCTCCCTCCCTCCCTCCCTCCGCTCTCCCTTCGCCTCATCTCCTCCATAATTTATCAGCGCTAGCAGACGCTCCAGCTCCAGCTCCAGCCCGGACGGGTTGCTGCCTGCCTGACCGCCGCAGCCATGGAGAGTGCGCGCCGGAGCATGTCGGCCCAGAGCCGCAACTTCATCCTGCATCCGCTCTGCGGCCGCTGATCCAGAGGAGAGGAGAGAAGAAGGGATTTTTTCACTCTGAAGAATCCCTGTCGTCTGCCTCTCTCTCTGGCTCGCCCCTTCTTTGAGGGACGAGTGCGCTGTTGTGGATTTTATTTTTCATTTATTTTTTTCTTTTGGATATTAATCAGAATCCAAAATGCCTGAGGCGAACTACCTTCTCTCTGTGTCCTGGGGTTACATTAAGGTGTGTATTTAGATGGGAGTGATGGTGTGTGTGTGTTCTGCTGGCTGGCTTGGTGGTCTCGGTGGTCTGGGAGACACAGAGAATGAATGCGATCTGCTGGTCTGTCTGGGGCGCCTCTGCTGGAATGTACAGTGTTGGATTCCCTTTTAGTTTCTTGACAGAAATGGTACTAAATGAAGAGAAATGTGCTAAATATCTATGGAAAACACTGTAGCATGAATTTTTGCTTGATGATGAATGCCCGTTTAGAACAACTTGTGTGCTTTTTCCAATGTGACGCAGGATATGGCTGCCTTTCTTCTCAACTTATTTAATTATATATTCATTTGTTTATTTATTTCTGTGTGATATTGCCAGTTTGCGGGTCCACAGGCATTTATTTTTTTATATACTGTACATTTTAGCATTTTCTACTAAGATTCGTAAGATATTCCAATTCACATTTTTCTGTGTACCCCATACTCTGCTCTGCAAGATTTGAAAGTAATTTGAATTGAAATATTGGATGATTTGGTCATAATCATCATGATCATCATAATCATTTGGTCATAAACCCCTCTTTCACCTTTACAGTTCATCTGTATGGATATAATGAATCAGAACAGTAGATAAAGGAATGGAGACACTAATAAAGGCTTGATGTTTGTTTTTCAGGTAGGATTCTGACTAATGCTTCACATTAACCGTTCCTTATTTTTCTTCCTTTCTTTACAGTTTAAGAGAATGCTGAACAGGGAGCTGACGCACCTCTCAGAGATGAGCAGATCTGGCAACCAGGTGTCAGAGTTCATCTCCAACACCTTCCTAGGTAACCATCCACCCCCAATGCATACACACACACTCACACACATGCTTTAAATGTCACGGATATCCAAGGAATGGATACCTGTGTGAGGCTGCTAGGATTTCTAGGGGCATTTAGACTATGTCAAACACATATGATGGATAGAGAGTAATGAAAGACATAAAATAGGAAAAAAAAAGAAAAAAGGAAAGATGAATCGCTCCGAAAGGGCAAAATCGTAAAGCACTAAGGTAGAGAAAGAAGAGAGGAGAGTGTTACAAAGAAGGAAGAAACTGAAAGGTCAGAATATGGATTGTGGACAGCAGGAGGTCACTGGGAAAGGCTTTCATTTTGCCTTTATACATGGTGCGCCATCAGCTTCTGTCTAGGCAGGCAGCTCAGCATCATGGAAAGAGAGAGAGAGAGAGATCCCCAATGCAGCAGTCAGCACAAACAAGAAGGGAGGGGGTATATGAGTTAGAGAGATGGAGTAAGAGATGCAGGTAAGGAGGGGGGATCCTGCTGTAGAGAGACGCTCACGGTGGAACCCCCGTAATGGAACCGCCAGGCAGCAGAACCTATGAGTCATCCAGAGCTGTACTTCAGAGAGGGACACCATTACAGCAGCACATACGCACACACCGTTTACATGGGTTTGAGGTATTTTCAGCCAGCGTGTATTGTTTTAAACAGCACTGACTCTGTAACATTCATGGAAACAGATATTCCAAACTAGTGCCGTCACTGTTGTATTATTAATCAAGTATTGTTAAATAATTATATAAGCAACTGAATAATCTTCTCAATATTTCGACAATAGTAATCTGAGGCCAAACAGTGAAAATGGACTAAACAATAATAAAATAATAAACAGTGCCTACACTTTCAAAGATAACAAAACACTTTACTGGACAAAGATAAACTAGGAAAAAAATAATAATAATAATAATAACAATAATAATAAAACACTGCTGACTAAATGGGAAGGTAAATTCGAGCAATCAGTGGTTTTGGATTGAGCAATCAAATTTAATTTAGAAATAGTGACAGCCTTTTTCCACACCTATTTTCACGTAGCATTATCCTGGTCATTTTGTCGTAGTGATACGTAGTCTGGGCTCCTTTATTATGATTAAGTGTGTTTTGGGTTCGGTGGGATTATTGAGGCTGTTAGTTATGAGGCATCTGTGAGCTCCGTCACGTGTCGCTGCTCTGCTCTGGCTCCGTCCGCATGGAAAAGAGCAAGCATAGCACAGCTAATGGGATTAAATGTGGCCAAAACTCAATGGCCCCCTTCTCTCCCTCTCTCTCTCATCTTCTCTTTCTCTCTTTGGCATCTGGAGCTCAGGGCAAGCATATGCAGCTTGCCTAACGCTCTTTAATTTTTGATAGAGAGTAAAGGGAGCTGAGGTGTGAGGGTGACATGTGACTGCTTGCTGACAGGAGGGAGGAAAGGATGAGATATGGAATAAAAAAGTGAACTGAACTGTATGGAGATTGCTGGAAAGGCACTTTCTCCTGCTGGAGAGCTTCTACCAAATAAAAGACAGTCAAGACGTCAAGACATACAGGATCGATTCAGTGAGAAGATTATCCCTCCATTTCTCAATCACCCTCAGTACAGATGCGCTGCCAGTTTTCCGTAACGTTAATCAGAAAACAGAGATTTCCAATCCAAATCCATCACAGAGAGCAGTACAGTGAGTACAGCCTGTGCTGAAGCTTCTGATAGCGCTGAGAGTATGAAGTGCAGGAGCGAGGATGATAACGACTGTAATGAATTAATGACCTCTTGCTCTTTCTCTTCTTCTCCAGCTCTGACACTTTTGAGACTATTACCTCGTATTATCGCGCTCATTCACTCGCGTTAGTGTAGGAGGAAGCCAGAGAGATGGAGACAGCCGTTATCACTGGACTAATTGAATAAGCCCCGTGGGACTGAGTGCTGGCTTTGGGTGGAATCTTGGCCCTAGAGAATAGTTCAAATAAGGAAATTGTCCGTTTATAGCCCCTCTGCCCTTTGGGGAAAAAAACCAACCCCTTAAACTCTAAGATCCTAGTCCAGAATTCCATTCTTTGCCTCAGAACTATGTAATGACATATTAGTTCATAGGAGTTCCTGCGTAATAACTCTTATTAACCTTATGAGTAACACACCTAATGGACTCATATATATACTATACAATAATAATATAGAATACCCTTAATATCCTTCATACAGGAATCCCCCAGCACTGACAGGTTCTGAATGGGTTTTCTTTCTCAGGATTCTGCTCCCCTAGTGTGCAGCTCTTTGATCCGTTGTCAGTGGAATTCTCCATAGTCTGGTATTTGGAGAGACCACATGAAGCGCAGAAATGGCAGGGACCCCTACAGTGGGCAGATGGTAGTGCTGCAGCAGTGCAGGCAGGAGAGCAGAGGCTTCTCAATGAGGGAGAAGAGAAAGCTCAATGAGAGACAGAGAGAGTGCAGATCTCAGGTCATTCTTAACAACCGAGAGCAGGTGTGAGCCGTTCAGCTGCACCTGGATTTTTTATAGTTATTATATTAGCCAAAGAATGACGAGACATCAGCAGAATCATTGAAGGCAGTTACCAAAGAGTCTCCGAATGTGTAATTTTATAGTAGAAGGGGGGAACTTACTGTTTGTTATGCTTGAAAGGCTTGCTTTTTGAGGTCTTCACTGGTCCATTTGTCTTAAAATTCATGCAGTGCAAAGGGTTTTCAAAAGGTGTAAAAAAATAATAATAGAATGAAAAAACATTACACACTTTTTTCTGCAGCCATTTTCAAGTCCACATGCACTTCTTTGCAAATCTAAACTTTTGCTTAGGAAAGAACAATTCTAAGATGTTTGTTCTGGCTGTTTCCTGCAGACAAACAGAACGAGGTGGAGATCCCTCCGCCCACACCGAAAGCTCGGGAGAAGAAGAAGAAGCAGCAGTTGATGACTCAGATCAGCGGTGTGAAGAAGGTGTCTCATGGGCCCAGTCTCAACTGCGGCATCGCCCGCTTCGGTGTCAAAACTGACAAGGAAGACCTGCTGTCTAAGGTAGAACCGGAGATGAGCTGTCAGATTTTCCTTCAGAGCGAAAAGCTTTTGAGTGTGACGTTCGGAATTTCAAAATCCTTACCAAAGTCTGTCTGCATTTTCCATCTGCAGGAGTTAGAAGATCTGAATAAATGGGGCTTGAATATCTTCACCGTGTCAGAGTATTCCAACAACCGGCCTCTAACGTGCATCATGTACGCTATCTTCCAGGTCAGTCCTCTTTCTTCCACTTGGAATTCACATGCTCTTGATTTTCCACCTTCTACATCTCGTCCAACCAGTTTTCTCCATGTTTCTTTGACAGGAACGAGATTTGCTGAAGACGTTTAAGATCCCAGCAGATACGTTTGTGACATATATGATGACACTGGAGGATCACTACCACTCAGACGTGGCTTACCACAACAGTCTTCATGCTGCCGATGTGGCTCAGTCCACACATATTCTCCTCTCCACACCTGCCCTAGATGTAAGAACACTTTTTGAGACTTTGACGTCAATTTGGTGTAGATTGCGACATTAACAGGGCAGTTAATGGGGTCAGTGTCATTCATCATAATCATGATGCCAAGGGCAGATGTTTAAAAGCTCAGTAGAGACTGTTTGATCCCTCTTCCATTAATCACAGTTTAATTAGCATTTAGGCTCTTAGATGGAGCTGTGGGGCTTCACAGAACTCATCTGGGAATATGTGCTGGAGCTGGTCTTCCAAATCACATTAAATCACATTTACTGACATTCACTTTCTTTCTCTCACAGGCTGTCTTCACGGATTTGGAAATCTTGGCTGCCATTTTTGCAGCAGCCATCCATGACGTAGACCATCCTGGTGTTTCTAACCAGTTCCTCATCAATACAAGTAAGTGGTGGCAACAGCTATGGATTGTGGTTGTATTGTCCTCAGAAAAGACTGCAGCCTGAACATCGATGAGAAGATTAAACATCCTCCATCTTTTCCCTCTTTTCTTCCTCAGACTCTGAGCTGGCCCTCATGTATAACGATGAGTCAGTGCTGGAGAACCACCACCTAGCTGTGGGCTTCAAGCTCCTCCAGGAGGAGAACTGTGACATCTTCCAGAATCTCACGAAGAAGCAGAGGCAGTCACTCAGGAAGATGGTCATCGACATGGTGAGCTCCTGTCTCTTGCTTTAACGTCATCGCCCTCGTATCTTTAGTTGTTTCCATTTTTATTTGTCCATTCATCAGTAAATGTTCATACGACTGCCGTCTTTTTATGACAACAATGATATTATTTCCCATTTCCTTCTGTTCATCCAAAGTCTGAGCTTTGCTTTCATTCTTGTCTCCAGGTACTTGCCACAGACATGTCTAAACATATGAGCTTACTAGCTGATCTGAAGACTATGGTGGAGACGAAGAAGGTTACCAGCTCAGGAGTGCTGCTTCTGGACAATTACACAGACAGGATACAGGTAGGAACATCCAAGTTGTTTATTGCATGTGCGGTCATTTCTCTTGGCCAAAGCACTGAACCTCCTCCACCTCTAGCCACTCTTGATTGAACTAATTAATGGTCAGTGGAAGGCAGGTACAGGATTGGATCGTTAGAAAAGCCAACCATCCTTCTCCTCCACTCTGTTTTTATGGCTGCCTAATAGTCTTAGTTCCTCCCATCCTCCACTGCTTCCTTACCAACTGTATCTTCATTAAGATAAATGAATGCCTTCAGTCTAAAGCAGTAACCAACCTAGCTAGTATTAAATATTTGGGCTGGCCAGAGCTGTGCATATAAGTATTAAACCCATTCATTCTAATCAGAAGCCTATTGACTTTCAATTCAGGTTCTCCGAAATATGGTGCACTGCGCTGATCTGAGCAACCCAACCAAGTCTCTCGAGCTGTACAGGCAGTGGACAGACCGCATCATGGAGGAGTTCTTCCACCAAGGTGACCGTGAGAGAGAGCGAGGGATGGAGATCAGCCCCATGTGTGATAAACACACAGCCTCAGTGGAGAAATCACAGGTCAGAGTCTAAAAGGAGTCTTTCTCATTCACTAGCTTTGCATAGGTCATTTTTAATGTAATAATTATTTTTAATAATTTAAACACATAACAAAAGATGAAGGTAAATATTATAGTCCTTTTTTCTGATTCATTTTTAGTCTTTTTTGCAATTTTCATCCTTTTATTTATCCTTTTACTTTTTAATTAACATTTTTTATTCTCATTCTTTTTTAGTGTTTTTTATTAGCATTTTTTATGTAGCCTTTTTTAATCTTACTATGAATCACTTTAAAAAGGCATATACAATGAATTACTGCAGTAATATGACTATTGTCATAACTTATGATGTCTATTCTATTTCTAGGTTGGTTTCATTGACTATATTGTCCATCCGCTGTGGGAGACGTGGGCTGATCTGGTCCACCCTGACGCCCAGGACATCCTGGACACGCTGGAGGACAATCGGAACTGGTACCAGAGCATGATCCCCCAGAGCCCCTCCCCGCCCTTCTACCAGGCCGAAAAGGAGGGCCATGGCGGGGGGCCAGGGGGCGAAAAGTTCCAATTCGAGCTCACCCTGGAGGAGGAGGACTCGGAAGGCACGGAAAAAGACGAGCAGAGTCAGGGAGATGAGGAAGAGGAGGAGGAGGAGGCAGAAGAAGAGGAAGATCAGGGGGAGGAGATGGAGCCGGTTTCCACACACATCCAGATCGTGACTCAAGACGCCTCACCAGTGGACACATAGGACCTCGCTGCCCGCATTAGTGGGTAGTAACCATTTTTTTCCTCGCAACCTTGCAGTTGATGCTTTTTAACGAAGCCCAGAGAGGGGGCTTTTTTGGCCCTCTCGGGAGGAGGACGACTGGCCCTCCTTGCACTTGCGTGTGGAGCCAGTTTGGGTGGAGCTCTCAGGAAATAAATGCTGCAGACATTTTGGAGCTGAATGATTGACAGGTGACTGTGTGAAACATGAAGGATCGGGGCCAACTGTAGACCTTTGTTTGTCTGGCAGGGCGAACGTTTTTGAGGAGTCAACACTACTGAGAGGACTGGAGTGTTTTTTGTACCAAGTGACTTTTTTTCTAAAGCTATCTATGGGGATACGTCGGGGTAGCATACGAACTACTGATGAACAAGTATTTGTAAAGAAAGAAACTGTTTACTTTTCTGTACCATTTGTCTAAAGACTTTGTGTGCCTTTTTTACTATTGTCTTTTTAATAGTCTTTTTTATTTATTGAACACACTTTAGTATAACTGTACATGAAAAATGTTTTTTTTGTTTTGTTTCGTTTTCTAAAGGCAAACCAGACAGCTTACCTGCAGAATCATTTTATAAGCCGAAGAGAAAACTCAGTGTCTTCCTTTATATTTGGCAATATGACTAAATAATCCAAATGTCTGACGTACGTTCAGAAAACTTAGAAATGTATATTCCAGTGAAAGATGCACTTTGTCATTTTTAAAAATTTTGTCTTTTTTTTTGAATGAGCGCATCATGTATACCCATACAATTCACTGTATACTTAGTATTTCAGATCAAAGACCCAGGATTTTGAATCTGGCAAACTTAGAAGAGCTCTTACAATCTAACTGTTTAGGAATTTAATGCAATCTTCCTTTAGTTCTCTCTGTAAACTTCCCATATACTTTGACCTCACCTTAATTCACCCAGTGCTGAAAGCTATGCAGTTAGACCTGTCAGAATTAGCTTTTGTGACAGTGATTTTTATTATTTTCTTGTAAGGGGATTGCTGCGGAAAAGACTCAACTAAACAAATTTGAATTGAAAAATGAAATAAATCTTGAAATTAAATCTTGCCTGCTTTGGTCCTCGAAGACAAGGTTTAAAAAAAGCCTTCCGTTCATTGACGTCAGTTGAATTTGTGTCACCATCACAGAGTACATTTCCTGGGGTTTGAGCTATCAGCTTTTGATTTGATGACATGATTATATCAATCTCACTAGAACAAATCATCCCTAAGACCAGTGACACATTTCTTTTAGCGTCTTAAACATAGTTCTCCAGTTTTCCAACTTTGAACACCAAAACTGGTCAAGCATACGGCTAACTTACCGTCATATTTGACCACGTTTGAATAATTGCCTTTCTTTACACACCATAATATCCATTACTCTCCAGTTTCTCTGGTCTATGTCTCACCAGTAGGAATAGTTTATGGCCAAAGTAGCATGCAGAAGCGTGTACGTGTGCGTGTATGTGTGTCTTTGTATGTATGAGGATTACATCTGTCATCTGCCCATGCCCTTTTCACACAACTGTTTTGTTTGGTTTGTTTATATTAGCTCAAGTCGGTCCTTTGCTGTTCATAACAGTGTATTTATTACCTTTGACTGTACATAAGGAATGATGTTTCTTTGTAAATTTATTTTTAATTTATATGCACTTGCATTACCGAAAATTGGTGGTGTTTTTTGTGTAGTGGGCTCTTGGATTGAGTCTGTTATATTTGGTAATACTGTTTTTTTGTTTTTGTTTTTTGTTCTAAATATTGATGAATAAATATATATCTATATATATATATATTATACTATATAGGCTATATAAATATATCGCACAATTTACAACTGCCCAGAAAAGTAGCTTAAGAGACACACAACCCATTGGTTACGGGGGGAGTCTGTAGATAAGACACAAGAACATACTGTAGACATTCTGTCAGATATTAGAAGCTTCGTGTATCACTGTTTGGTGCAACATCGAAAACTTGATACCACAAGATTGTACACAGAGTGGCACTCCAGCTGAAACCTCTACAGCTTTTTGAATGCAGATTGCTAAGAACGGCTCAGAAATTTTTTTTATACGTTGGACTCGCAAACCACACATATTGGTCACAAACGTCACAATCTCTGAACACCAATGTGAAATTGATATGAATTACAAAAAATGTGATCTTCTGTAATTATTTGTGCTAATGTGAACTATTTTTCTGACCTTGTTAGCAGTTTTGAAATTCAAATTGTCAGTATAACTTTGTTCATCTATGTTTAAGATCTTTTGGTCCGATTTGTGTCCAAAAGGATTAGGCAGAGTTAGTAATATCTGCATGAGGGATGGGTTTTTTCGTCTAGTAATCCCACATTGTTGCAGGTGAATATTCAATGTTTCACACAATGTATGGTATAATATTGTATATTGTGTTCAATAAAATCTAAAACTACTTTTCTATGAAGTGATTAAAAACGAAGCATGAATATATTTTCCTTGTCCTGGTGATTTTTTTGTTAATTCTGAGTTTTTTTGTTTTCCCCATAACAGTCACATGCAAAAGTTTGGGCTACTATGGTCAAATTAGGTTTTGTTGATTGTATTAGTGAAAATAAGTGCACATCCTTTGCAAGGAATTAATGCATAATTGCTATATATTTGCTGTATTTAACATATTGGGGCGGGGGGGGTTGTGGGTGGGGGGGTTGTGGGTAAACATAAAATGTGGCCTTTTCCAAAATTACGGCTCATTTTATATTTTACGCTTTATTATTTTTGTGTACTACAATTTGGAGAAAAATGCCATATTTAAGTTTGTTCTCTGTAGAGGATGTGTTAACTTACTTTCTCTCAATCAACAAAACCACTGATAAATCGATGCAAACACCAAACACCATGCTGTTTGAATAAGCTTTCCAATCTAAATACCTGCGTCAAACGTGGCAAATTTATTTTTGAAAACAAAGTAGAAGAGGTCAATATTCGCAGCATAAAATACGTTGTATTTATATCACATCTATAGTGCATTTTTGATGAATCTTCATATAAAAACCTCCAAAAAATTAACTGTTTAATATATATGGAGGGGTAGAGACTTCTCTCTTTGTTTACTTTAGACATTTTACGACTAACACAGTGTTAAAAAGAACCTCGCCATGTGGAGGCTGTACTTTAGCCTCTCATTGGGTTGTGTGCATGCTCCAAAATGGTGCTAAATTACAGCCACAAAGAGAAAGGATTTAGATAATTTTGGTGTGAATTCTGTGAAAAGTTACTTCTATGGTCTTCACTGAGAATCCTGAGAAATATCTGCCCAATTATCATCAAAATTCTTCGGTGATGTTGCTGTGGGAATATGAAAAGATTACCAAAAGCACTTTCTACATGAACCTGTTTAGTTACATGAAATCTCCATGCCACATTTTCCCCCAAGGTAGCCCCTACTTTTTCTGCTCAGGATCATATGACATGAATCATCATAGAAATAAAAGTCAGTAGCAATTCAGTAACAACATAACACAACACAGTGGGGCATTGAGCTTTCTGAACAGTGAGCTGGAGTTTATTTGAGGCAGCAGTGAGATGAATTGCACTGAGCCTGTGTCTATGGCGAGTCTCAGCTTGTGCGGAGCTGAATGCAGTATGACAGGGTCACATTGCGTCATGTCCTCCGAATCCTGTTCGTGCTCTGCTCCTCCAGCTAAAGCGGCTCCTCACATCACACCACACGGTCTGCACTGCCAGCTCAACTTCAGCAAGGCCTTTTAATGGAGGTTTGTGTGAAGGGAGGAGGCAGAACATTTCTTTTTGTTTGACTGCTATTAAATGGACGCTGTTTGTATTCATCTTAACATCTTGCTGAAAAGACCGTTTGAGTATATGATGACTTCTTGATGAAAGGAAGTGATTGTTCAAAGACAGAAGTACAGCAAATGTTCTGCTAATTGATTATTAGTCTGCAGATATAGCATTAAGACCTATTTAATTCATAATTCAATAAACCCTTAAGCTCTAGGCCTACTAGTCAGCTGTTAATGTCAAAGCTTATTGTTCAACAACTATGAATTATTTAGTAAATACTATAAAATTAATAAGTTATGTAGTTATGAGAGTGTGGAATTGAAGTGTGGACCTCAGAGTTTAAGGGGCTTTATTTTTGATATTTATTAGTGGCAGTGATGGCTGGCACAGAATCACAAACGTCGCTTATGAAATTGTTGTTGCAGGTGGCTCATAATTCCCTCTACAGCGTTGCGTCTAGGTAACATACCCATTGTTGGCCTTTTACACTCACACAATACACCCTCAAGTACTGCAGTACTTTAAAAAAGTGGCAGGGCACTAAAGAAACCAGTAGCAGTGTTTTAATTTCTCACATGAATCCCTGGAAGCCATGTTAAACCCCTGTAGCCTTTGTCACATCATCTCTCTCCACAAAATCAGTCTGAAGACACAAAATTGGTCTAAAGACACCTAAAGTACATCAATATACTTTATTTGGTAATGAAGTAATGGAAAATTGTTAAAATGCAAATGTTGCCTTGAAGTAACAGTTCAGGATATTATACTATATACCTACCATAACAGTGCACTTTAACTGAAAACAAGCATTTAAATGTAGCACAAATGATCAAACACTGAAATGTAACACACTGTCTTGCTTTGAATGGGGGTTATGATAGTTTGGTTTGGTTTTAGATTGTTTATGTAAACTTTGCTGAAATGTGCTTACACTCTTTACATTCACACACCTCTTTAATCTGATTGCTGCTACAAGATAAAGGTAAAATGTAAGATGTAAAATGTAAGATAAAATGCAGTATGTGGAACAGCTGGACTGCCTGAGCTTTTCCCGTAGACTTTTACCACCAACATGACAATAACAAAAGAAAAACAAATGATGCTTAGCTTGTTGATTTCTCAGGCTGAAAAGTGACATTCTAAACATGCCCTATGTAAGAATTTTAATAAACCGCTAACAGGCTCCTCCAATAATATTCAGAAGCAGGTGTTTACTTGAAATATTTGCTACTATGATTATATAACAAAAAAATGAACAGTTTCATGAACTGGAATACCCCATGGTTTATTTCATGTCAGTACAGGTGGTGCTTTGCATGCATAACACAATATAATAGTTTTGCATTGGGATGTTTGAATAAGATCTGTGAAGTCATTCTGGGTGGCATCAAGCCCATTAGGAACCCGGGATCTAAGTTGGTTTTCTGTATGACAAAAACGAATGGTGTTTTTAAAAAATCACTACAGTCGCTCCCTACAGCGTAAACTACAATGTTCCAAAGCTGATACATTTTGCCATATGGACATTTTTCCTCCAAATGTCGCCAGATCCTCTGAATAATGAGGTCACTACATACAAGCTTGCACTGCTGCAGCCAGAGATCAACCAGAGATTTGCTAAGCTCAAAATTGAGGGGGTGAGACTGATGTATTAATGGGGTGGTGCCCACTTTTTAGCCCTGTGGCAGTAGACCAAGTGGTGGTTGTAATGAAAATAGATCACTAAATGTGGTTCCAAAGAACCACAGAATGTTGTTTCACTCACTTTGACTCATGATCTGCTTTTTTTTTATTGTGCAGGATTTTTATTTTACTATACTGTGACTGCACTATTTTGGGGTGGGGTGGGTGGTGTGGGGACTAGTTTAATTAATTTTTCAATTTTAACTGCATTGTGTTTCCTGGGGTTGACTGGTGCACAGCCGGGATTTATGACTTAGTTTATTAACCCCTTGAGCTCTAGGCTTTAGTTGTTAATCTTAAGACTTACTGTTCAGTCAGTGCTATGAAACTAACAAGTAAGTTATGTAGTTCAGAGAGTGAAAATTGTACCTGTAGGCTCAGATATGGGTCCTTATGATTGAATGGGTTAACCTCCAAGCTCTATATCAGCTCTGTCTGACAGTGCAATGTTACTTATTTTCATCACATCTGTATTGGCAGTATCTTGTATCACTGAAATAGAACCTTTCTGGCAATGTGCAGCAGACTAGAAGGTCTCAAAAAGCAGCACATGATGCCACGTTTTAAAGAGATCCAAATACAGATGCAGATGAGATCCAGGTACAGATGCAAGCTAACACTGCATTCCACCATAAGAACATCATGCCAACAGTCAAACATGGTAGTGGTAGTGTGATGTTCTGGGGCTGCTTTGCTTCTGCAGGACCTGAATGACCTGTCATAATTGATGGAACGATGAATTCTGCTCTCTATCAGAAAATCCTGAAGGAGAATGTCCGCCCGTCAGTTCGTGCATAGTTAGTTTATGCAGCAGGACAATGATCTGAAGCAAACAAGTAAGTCCACCTCTGAATGGCTCAAAAGAAACAAAATGAAGGTTTTGGAGTGGCCGAGTCAAAGTCCTGACTCTAATCCCACCTTAAGACCTCAAACGGTCAGTTCATGCTCAAAAACCCCCCAGTGTAACAAATTTAAAACAATTGTGCAAAGAAGAGTGGGCCAACATTCCCCCACAGGGATGTAAAAAACTCATCGCGAAGTTATTGCAGTCGTCTGATTGCAGTTGTTACTTTTTCACATGGGTGATATAGATTTTGAAAAAATCTTTATCTTCAATAAATGGAATGATCATTTAAAAGCTGCACTCATGTTGTCTTTATCTTATATTAAAATTAGTTGAATGATCTGAAACATTTAAGTTTGACAAATTAGCAAAAATAGAAGAAATCACATGAGGAGTGAATACTTTTTCACGGCACTGTATTTTCAGATTGAGAACTGGTTATAGTTCTAGTGTTATACAGTGTTTAGCTAAATAGTTAATATGACCTCAAGAAGACAGATGCAGGCCATGGTATCATGGTATTAGCTGGCACAAATTGGCCCAAGATAAAGAATATGAGCTGAAAATGTGTTGTAGGGAAAGCACCCCTGAGAGCGTATTAGCTTTGTAAATGAAAGCTGCAAATCAGTCCCGTGATGGCCAGCCCCAGCTATTTTTAACTGCTGGCCAATTAGGAGAAGAGGCTGGTGACGTGTTTTCTCTCCAAGAGGAGCCGCTGAGTGCTGAGAGCATCTGCAGCTCCACAGCTGACCAGAATCTGCTCAGAGTTGTGTTAGACACATCAGCGCAACCTTGCGTGCACACAAATACACATGATCTAATTCTTCTGAATTATTTTTATGTATTTAGCACACAACCTCAAAATGATCAACGCACAGTTTATAGGCTTGTGCATACTGCATTCTAGGCTTGTACATTTCCAAGTCTCTTGTAGACTGCAACAGTTCACACATGCAGGGTTTTCGATGCGATGACAAATGCATGATCATAAAAATGCAGTGTTAAAGCTGATCCTTTCTCAAAAGCTGCTCAGATGGTTACATTTAAATAATGCTCACTGCCTACTACAGATAAGTCAGGAATCACTTTGATTACAGTATAATGAAAGATCATAATACAAATACCTGGATTAAATCAAAAACGTTGCTGTTTTAGATACAGT